TGGGAGAGTTGCTAGGTGAATGCTATAGTAACGTAGTAAGATATGAACATCATGGGATTATTCCCATGATGTTCATATCTAATTAATAATTATCTAATTAATTAATATTAATCTAATTAATAATTATCTAATTAATAATTAAATATCTAATTAATAATTAATGTTCATAATTAATTAATGGCCTTATGGCCACATGCTAAAAATATGCAAATAGAATGGATTAATAAAGTTACAAAACAAAATACATGTCAAACGAAACACGCCGTTGGAAAGCCATGCTTCGGTATAAAAGAGCTGCCTCGACCGGAGTGATACCACGGCCTTGCAGAAAACCGGCGTTAATCCGACCGGCCGTGCATCTTCAAACGACTAAGTATACCGATGTCAGCTATCTGAATCTCACTGAAGCACAACTTGATGAGTTTGAGCGACTTCAAAAGCTCTGTATACGATTTGTATTTGTACTAAGAAAATATGCGTGATCATATTTTTTCCTAATTCCGTCAAAAGCTCCAGTAGCTTTCAATTCGCTCTCGCCAATACTCATATACACATTTTCTCTATAATATCTTGTTCAATCCCAGAGCCCCCTTTTACCTCAAAGAACGGTTCAAGTTCCTTCATGACACACATGAAAAATGTCTGAGGTCATCCTAAGATTTGAAACTTGAGATGCCTCTGCATTCTACAATTTTTTTAACAAGCTTTTAATATTGAAGCTGTACGCTTATGGAATGCATTGCCGATAAACATCAAGCGAGCGCATACAATAAACAGTTTTATGAAAATGCGAAATCAAGATTTTTTGTACCGTAATTAAGACAGCTACACACTCGTGTTAGGGTATGATGTGTCACCAGGGACTTCCTTTCTAGGGTATACCTGGTTCCCCGGCTATTAGTACCCGGCGACGGCGTGCGGTTTTAGTCGGTTCGAGTCCGACATGCCACCGACAGGTGGTATCCGAGGGGATTTCCGCACGGAAAAAAAAAAAAGGGTATGATGTGAATGTTTTCTTTTTTATATGTGATATACTTAAGTAATTATATTTGCAGTATATTTGCTGGTATGTATAAGTATTTCTTTGTATGTATATAAATATGTATGTGTGTATATATATGTGTATATTTATTATATTATATATATATCTAGTTATTTTCTCTTTTATATTCGTTAGCCATTAACCTGAAAAACTCATTTCACCGTCAACTACCACTGTCTCTCCGGAACATTTTGATCCATCCTAAGGTTGCCTGGAAGAGATTGCTCTTAGCAATAAGGCCGCCCTTTGTCCATTATATGTCTGACACTTTTATGTACCAAGCTTTTTGTAAAACGGTGTACAAATAAAAGAGTTCAATCAATCAATCAATCAATCAATCATTTATTCATTGCTGAACATAATACATAGTCATGTAACATCTAAGGTGTCATTGGATGCAAAGTAAATCATGTTCGGCCGATTAAGGCATGCAAAATTAGTCCCTCAGTAACATTTCAATTAAACAATACACATTAATATCATGTCCACAAAATTGTCAAAATATGTCAAAAGATACAAATACAAATTAAATAGGGTTTAACAGGCAGAATTACACCAATAACATAAAGAAAAATTATAAAAGTAACATAATTTCATAAATTGTCAACATATTTATACATAATATTTATAAATTAAATTCAAAACCATACAATATATTATTATACGTATTTGTCAAGTCTGTCTTTATACAATAATATCCTTTTACATTGCTTTTTTCAAATTTTGTCCACTAAGTATTCATCTATTGTATAATAAACCTTATTAAACAACAGGCTCATTAGTTTTGTCTTAAAAATGTTATTATTTGCAATTTGTAAGAGAGATTTTGGAAGTTTGTTATATATTTTTGGTGCCATTCCTAGTAGGTTTTTCTTAAATATCGTTTTATTATGTAGGGTAAAACTAATTTTATGATTATGTCGTGCACTATTTAAAGTCTCAAAAATATAGAAATTATTCCTTATAAACATTACCATCTCATATATGTATAAACAAGGTAATGTTAATATATGAAGTGACAAGAAGTGAGGTCTGCAGCTATCAGTCATCTGTATGCCGCATATCGCTCGAACACATCTTTTTTGGGCTTTGAAAATACTTTCCCTGTTTGTTGAATTCCCCCAATATATAACACCATATCGCAATGTAGATGTAACAAAAGCGTGATATGCTGTAAGTGCGGTTTTCTGGTTCACTATCTTGGAAAGATTATAAAGCGCATAGGAGTATTGATACAGTCGTTTACATATACTATTTGCCTGAGTTTGCCAAGACATATCCCTATCTATTTCAATACCTAAAAATTTAGTGGAATTCGTTTCTTCAATTATTTTAGTACTATATCTTACCACTGGTTTATTGTGATTGGTTTTTTGTTCAAACGTCATGAGTTTAGTTTTATCGAGGTTCAATTTCAAATTATTTGCTTCTAAATAGTCAATTAACGTTCTCAAGCAGTCGTTTATTTCTGTTTCGAACGTCAAGTGATTACGATTAGAGTTCTACCTATCTATCACAGACAGAGTAAGAAATAGACTCATGAGTTGCAGGTATCTCTGAACGGGTGTAGCCAATTACCATTACCGGTGGCCTGCCTGTTCGTTTGCTCTCTAAAAATAAATAAAGAAACATAGTCTTCAAAGAAGGATATTTTGAGGATGCGTCTAAATCTGCTTATATGTGGTGTGTGGTGACGGATTAAGTATACATCATCATTGTCATCACCTTTATTAATCCGTGGGTGTCGTAAAAAACGACTGAGGACAACAGCACTGCAAAGAGAAGGAAAACTTGAAACAAATCTTATAAAACCCGTCTGACCAGCGTGGAATAGTAGCCCAAAACCTTATTTCTACGAAGAGGCTAAGTCCAGCAGTGGACTAATAAAGGCTGTTGATGATGAAACCTGCTTCTTTAGGCTGATTTTTAAATAAAACAAGCTCATCAAGTTACAAAATAAAAATGTATTTAATGGAGTTTCCACAACTAAACATTAAAATAACATGTCCGACCAAATACTGGGACTTTATGACATAATTATATAATCATTATTATAATATTAAAAACGATACATCAAATTACTTATCACTACTTTTGATGTAATAAATGCAATAAAATTTGCTACAATATTCGCAACTCAGTTGTAATTTTACATGACTAGATTGTAAATGAAATACGAGATATTTTAAATAAAATAAAATACAAATGTGTGAGCTGTAAAAATACATAATAATAATCTGATTATTATTTTATGTAAAAACTTAAATACAAAAAAATAAAAACATAAAAAAACGTATTCTTTGACACACCTGACTAGAATTGAAAGATCTGACACAGTCCATAATTTTCTTTAGCAAATATTGCACTGCCCGAATGTCAGTCTTCTAAAATTTGAAAAATAAATAAATCAAAAACTTAGTACTAAATCCTACATTTGGCAGCATCGGCACAGCGACGTAAGATTATTTAATTTATGTATGGAACTGAACATAAATCAACATGAACAGTACATGATATTATACAATGCAAACAACATCAATTACTTGGAATTCAGAGATTTGATACCACTAGACATAGTGCTTAGGAATTAAATATACTAATATATTTAAAACTTATTAGTGAACACTTGAACACAAAACGCTGCTTAATAAACTGTATTGCTTACTATGCATGTCACAAATCTGCAGAAATCTGCATTCAAATGTAATTTAATACAAATCACAGACGTGTCTAATGATTAATTCGCCAAAACCAGGTTTAAGAACATAAAAATTAGGATCATATTCATTTAACATAAAAACTTAACCAAAATATCTTGATTCTAAATTCTTTGACGTCAGTACTTTATACAATAAATGCATTAGTTCATCTTTCATTTCTGACAGTGTAATTTAAAGGCTTTTGCCTGAATATTTTCTATTAAGACTACTTGATAGGTTACTGTGTAAATAAACGTTACTTGTAATATTATTTTATATTTTACTAGCAATTTCAATTCATTTATTTTAGTAGCAATTCTACAAATAAATTCTTTGACAGATGATTAGGTCAAATTGCTAATGTCTTGAATGCCTGCCTGCGTCTTTTTTTCCAGATGGATTATACTTCTGAATCGTTCAAGACTTAGAGTTAATAGATTTCTTTTAGATAGGAGTGTATTTAAACGTCACTTTTTATCAAAAGAGAAAATTCTCCATTTATTAATAATAAGAAAAAAAAGCAACGGCGCTCAATTCTTGTGGGTTTGAGTCGTGCAAATTTGCAAACTTTTTATCATATAAACCTATTGTGTTTAACAACTATTATTTTAATTTTATTTTGCATGTCGATCTCTTTTAGTTATCTACGTCTTAAGCATACAATGAAAGCTTCATCACAAACTGTCATAAATATTGTAAAAGATCAAAGCCCCGCAGAAGATACAGAAAAAACTTAACACTTAAAAGATCTTTATTGTATTTCAGAATTCCAAGTATTTTACATATAAGCGACAGGCAAGTGAAGTCTACAACACTAGGAATGATTAGCTTGATTATAAAATTCTATCACCTATTATGTGAATACCTTACATTGACGAAGAATGTTTCTATGCATGAAAAATATGATTTGATGATATGAAAACTATATGTTGGGTAGATTTACACATTGGTCCTTATACACGACTAGTGGAAAATGGAAATTCTTGTAATAGAATTAAATTATTACCCCTTAATCATACAAATATATTTTATAATCTTATCTGTTAAAAAAAGATCAATAATCTTTAAAGACCTTCGTTTTTTTACTTAAACTTTTGGACTTTGTAAAAAGAATATCACCTAAAACTAATATACATTTGGATTCTAATAGAAAGAATGGTTCCAAGAACTAGTAGTTATTTTTATAAGTAAGGGGTACACGTATTTCTATCTATCGTTTTCCAACACCAAGAATAAAATTACTGTAAATAGGTACCTAATTATACCTTGACATTATATTTATCAATAATCCTATTGCTATCCGGTGAATCATCTGCAAATTTAATTTCATTTGATGAGTCAGAATTCTCATCAGCAAATTTAATGTCGGAAAAATCTGTTCTTTTCAACGTATCAGAATCTTTTTCTTTAGAGTCAGTAACTCTTTTAAGTGTAGAGGTGTCGAAATCGCAACGATTTTCCTTTCTATGAACTCGAACCGGTGACCGGGTCAGTGTTAAATCTTTCATCTGTATCGTTACAGGGCTTTCAACTTTCTTTTTCTTATTTCTTTTGGACAATTTGGGTGAATTTTGCAAATCGCTAATACTAAAATTTAAAGGATGGATTATATTGCCTTTTTCGATAACTTTACGAACAGATTTGATAGACTCATTTGATCTATTATTGCGATTGTCAACGTTTCTCTTGAGCGTACTGGATGATGGTATATCTTCAGGGGATTCTGTATTACTTCCAGTATCAGGATGCATACCTTTGGGTAGTATTTCCTGTAACATTTATTTTCAAATTCATATAAATGCACTTATGACATAACGTCAACAAGTTTTTATGAAATGGGTACATACCTCATAGATAGGGACTTTGTTATCATCAATTTCTTTTAGTATATCACCTTCTTCTAAAGGCGGTATCCAAACCAAGAACGCTGGATCCATTCCCAGATAGGAACCAGGTACTGAACCTGTATAAAAAAATATTTTAGCATTATTGACCAATTTCACTGTACTTTCGGCTCCTAAACTCAATTCTAAATTAATATTTACTTTACTTTTGCTAAATTTTGTATTTGTGTTTGTGTTTTAAAACTTTTTTTATTAAAATTAAAATGTTTCAACTACTAGGATACCTGGCCAATTAAAAAATTCTTAAATGCCGATCTCAGTCTGAAAAGGTTTTTCATTAAAATGTTAATTTTGTTACAAAAACTACATGTTCAATCAATTTGAAAAGGAATTACAAGCTTTTTATAACCCAAAGCTTAAAATTAATATTTAATGGATTAATCAAAAATATTATGAAGTGCAGTACCTAAAACCTTACCAGCATTATTGACTTCGTAATCGTAATAGTCGATTTCCATTTCAGGATGAGAAGTAAGACTGAGGTCTGACTTCAACAGACGTCGGTTGCACGACTCCTTTGTGTGTTTAGGGTTATCACGGATCTTGGCTGCTGAGACGCCGCTCAAAGCGGGAGAATACCAACCCTAAATGGAAAATAAGTTTATTTTTAGAATTTTTAAAACGCCCTCTTTAATCTTTTAAAAACTTGACATTTCGTATTATAATGGCAGTATCATAACTGCTTTAATTCTGTAAAATTGCTTGAAAAAAGAAGAATTTTTAATTTATTTACTTATTAAGGCGTTTGTTCAGTAGTGGACGGCGATAAACTGATGATTATTATTTAAGTAAAAATGTAACATCGACTTTAAACTATTTATAATACGGTTCATACTCACATTAGTCAAAGTTGCAGCAGATGTAGATGAAGATGCTCGACTCTCACTCCTGTCTTTTTCCCACATGCTGTCTCTGTCTTTCTCACTGCTACAAGTACTCTCCCTCTCACTCACGCTACTAACGCTTGTGCTCATTTCCACAACTCCAGACTCGCTAGTCGACTGCTGTGGTGGTGATGCGCATAACTGCGTAGTATAAATACAGCTTAACTTGGTATATTACGTTTAGAAGTTTAATAGACTTGAATACACATTAGAACTTAATAGTTCAGTTTCTAATAATATAATGAAAAAAAAACAGCGATCGATTAATGACAATGTTAGAATTCGATCTGCTATCGATAATTTTCAATCAAATAGTAATGTTAACTCTAAATAATATTATAAATACTATAGAAAGTTTGTTTGTTTCTCACGCTTTTATTTCTTCGTCTTTAAACCGATCCCCATATAATTTTTCGTATACGTTTTTAGGGAAACATTATATTTTTAGATTGCACAGCATGTCATTAAGAAAAAACTGAGATAGGTATGGATAAGTTCAAAAAACCCGAGGGGATCCGCAGGTAAAAGTTAATGTCCAATAAAAAGAAAACATCTGTACAACATAATGGCGTATTGTAAAATGGATGCTAACAGCGCTGAAACAAAAATGCTGGGTCACTTTTTCTAATTTAACTAACCTTCTTTACGTTAGATTGCGGTTGGGTGACGTTAGTTGCTGACACAGTATGAGAACGTTTTAGCGGTGACGGAATGATAATTTTCCTTCCAGCAGGGGCACTACTCGAAGATACAGTTTCTGGTGTAATCGTAGCTTGGCTAGCTACACTACCTTCGCTTCCTACACTTGTATTGTCTCCTGCGTCAGCTTCAATATCAGTACCTGGGTCATCCTCGTCTCTAAAATATACGAATAGATCAATTATATTAATTTATACATTATCACACAGTACAAAAATGCTACTGAATAGAAATCGTATCAATGAATAGCGACTGTTGTTCTAGCACAAAGAGGTTGATGGCATAACTTTTAATCTTTTTTTTTAAAGATGTTATGATTACCTTTCTTTTCTCTTATCGATGTTCTTTGGAAGTGTGTAAAACAGTTTTCGCAGTTTTGGATCTTTTTGTTATTTTAGTCTCCGTATACAATGCTTGCTTTAGTTTCGAAAATATTATAACTTAGTTACAGTTTCCGATACGTCGAGGCCTACGGTAACACGGTACACAGCTTTGTTAATGTCGATAGTCGTAGACAGACTAAATTATTAAAGCAGGCGTGAGTGGTCTATGGACGAAATTCCTTTCGCTTTTTGGTAGACGTTTTGCTATACAGTCATTATACTCGTAATTTATATTATAAAATATGTAGACGAGTATAAACGAAGAAAGCCGTCGAGTCTTTCGGCGCGCAGGACAGCTATGTGCGGCGATGTATATAGTTCATACACGGCTGTAACTATAGCAAGAAGTGTCGGAAAAAAGTATTGTTACACATTTTTCGGTCTCGCTCCCATCTGCTCAGAGCGTGTAACACGATAAGAAACTTACACATAAATAAGATTCCGTCTTCCGTCACTAGTATTCTCCGAAAGTGGTCGTATTAATCCGTAACAAGTTTGTCAGTCCTTTTAAAATACCTATTTCTGACGCAAATGGATAAAGATTTTTCTGAAACATTTTATGTTATAGTTTTTTTATTTGTAAAAACTCTTAATAGGGATTTGAGGAGTCTTTTACATTTAAAATATATAAAGAATACAATAAAGAAACAGCATTTTATCCATTGATAATTCCCAAAGTAGCTTCAGACTCGTACTACGAGTATAACCATGCTAATTCCCACCCCAGCCATCAAACAATAAAATAAATAACGAGGGCCTGTATAGTGATACGTGTTCAAACAATGGCATTACGTCAAACAATACACTCATCATAATTTCAGAGGGGAAAAAAGAGTCGAGTGTTGTTTAATTAATTATTTTTCAACTTACTTCGCCAAAGAACGCTTTTAAAGAATCTTGAGTGATCCTTAGCGAAAGGTTGGGGACTTTCGAAAGGTAAAAACGAAAATATAATTAAATGTATGTACATTAAGAAAAGGAATCGAAGGATTTCAAAGGGGACTTTTCAAGATACGAATCTGTGTATAATCGCTTTTTATTGTCAACTTAATTGAATGAGTCGCTTTGAAAGGATCTTAATAAAATTAAGTATACATGAATTCTTTTTGGGAACGACAGAATTACGCCGTACATGCGTAAAATTAATTTATTAAAAAAAGAAATTAAGTGCCTATTAAAAATTAAGTACCTAATAAATAAAATGTTAAATGAACTTAACTCAAACTGACCTTTGTTCTGCATATTCAGAATTTCTGTCCGAGTCCCGGAGTCTGGTGTGCTTAGTTTTACCAGAAGGTAACAGACGTCGTAGTGCAACTCCACCTCCGACTACTTCTGATAAAAGAGTACTTCGAGATCCCGATACTGCTCCACCAAGCTCTAGAGACGCTGAACACGCTGAAATTTATTAAGGACTATGTATTTTTGTTTATGAATTCCCGAAAAATGAAAATAATTGATAAAGCATTAACAAAAGCCTACCATACCATAACTTGATGAAAATAAAGTGTTTCTTCTTCCTGTACAGGAAAATAAACGAATTCAACACTTGTTTCATTGGCTATATTTAGTTTGGGAAGTGTTAGAACCTTATAAAATCTTCATTCTTAATTGATAGCATAGTTGATAATGACAGCTTTTGGCGCAGTTACAGAAATCATTTTAGACTGCTATTTGAGGTTTTTAGATTATTAATATAACAATCATCTTAAAATATATCTTTGTGTGAATAAGGCTTTACCGTTAATAAGACCTGTATTATAATGAACTAATACTAATACATAGTAGGCCAAAACCTCCTTTCTAAGGAGAGGCCTATGTCCAGCAGTGGACTGTTAAAGGCTGTTGATGTGATGTGTGATGTGAATACATCGTGGTGTTGATTAATTAGCATAACTAAAAATTCTATAATTCACGGAATAAAAACTGATGCAATCTAAAATAACATTGTTTATCTACCATCACTATCGGTGAGTGACTCCTTATCGGCCGCTCGCTGATATGCCCTGGTGCGATGCGCTGAATGCAGCGCAAGGCACAGCGCTGCCAGCGCTGCTGCGGCTGCAAGCGCCACTGCAGCACCACGGGCACCTCCACCACTACGCCACCAGTTACCGCCACTAACGGAGGCCCACGCTGCTGACGCGTTGCGGATAGGTTCTATTCGGAGAAAATAGATATTAAGGTTTAAAAGTTTTGCTCTAGAACTTCCTACTCAAGGTATACACCACAAAATTTACTAACTGTTCTGGCCTGCGTATGATATGAATATATCTAGTCTGAATGTAATAATGTTCATAATAATTTTACTAATAAAACAGAACTCAAGGAAAAAAACTACGATTTTATTACCTGCACTTCACACATACATTTAAATTTGAATTAATGTATTATTCAAATTTAAATGTATTAGTATGAAGTTATGATGATTGTGGCCACTTCCACATACCATGATGTTAAAACATACTACAGCGCCATCTAACGGAGACACACTGAACCACAGAGTAACTGCTAATCCTGTATCGCGATATAAATAATTGTACAAATTTAAATAACATCAACCGTTGGGAAGAATGATCAACAACACTTAATTTTTTTCTATATGTAATCGAAGAGAGAACATAATACTTCTTACAACAATAGAGATTAATGAATTAAGGGCATGAAGGGGAGGGGGTGCTTTTAATTATTTTTATACAATAAGCGGCAGGGGTCCCCATGAATGTGAAAGTGCTTAGAAGGGGCTTTTGTTCAACAGTGGTCGTCCCATGGCTCTGGTTATTGTAGATTATATTTTCCATTTACATATTATATAAAATAAACGACTTAACAAATAAAAATATTTTTGACAATTTAATTATTCTTTTTATAAAGTGCCCATTGCTATTTTTAAATGTGTAATATTTTCAGTGTAAATTACACTGAAAAGAATTCATAATATACGAGTAGGTATATGCCGTTTCAAATGAATGGTAAATTTTCTTGACACAATTTTTTTTTAACATGATTTTTACCACAAAAATTTCAATTTAATAAAAAAATTAATTACATTTGAATCTTTAATAAATTCATTTCATCAAATTTAATTAAATTTCAATTACTCATTAAACAATAAAAATATTTTGATTTCATTGTAGCTCATTCTTGCTTAATACTGAACCGCTCAAACTAATGGATTTTAGATATCTCACAATCTTAGCAGTGCAGTGATTGTTTTTATTCCCCTCAGTTGTATGATATCCAATCGTATGTTTGAAACCTCGAAACCACGACAGTGGCCGCAACAGCATAACATATCCGTAACAGTTTCTTCGGGTCTGTAATATTTTTGACTATTTTGCAGTGTCCAATAAGTGTGCGTAGTCGTACACATGTATTGCATCTTTGAAACTTTTTTAACACTTTTTCATAGGAAATATAAAGCACACTGGATATATACAAACATATGTACATTACATACCAACTTGCGTGGCGTGTGCCAAGAAACCTCCAGCACAGCGGTTGCTGGTGTCTCCAGAACTGAGTTCAACAAGGACGTGACTTCCACCAGATATTTCAATCGCTCCACTAGAATCTGTCGTGGTATCTACATCTCCAATCTGTTAAACATTAAATATCAATAAATTTAAATTTATGAAAATTCTCAAACAGAAAAAAGACCTATAAAGCTTTAGTAAGGACTTACCATTGGCACGCTCTCAGGCCCATCCCATGAGGCAAGCAATGGAGATCCTAAAGAATCACCATCTCTAACTTTCAGAGTTTGGCCAGCGCATGGGAGCCGCACAGCTTCCATTCTCAAACGAACCACCAAGCCTTCTTCAGCCTAAGAAAATAAATAAACATAACTTTTAATAATAAAATTACTTCGAAAGCTTAAAATTTGTAAATACACAATTCACAAAAATTCTCTTTTTGACTCGCATAAATAATCTATGGAACAAGTTACTGTCTGCGGTATTTCCTTCCCAATACGACCTTCAAGGAAAGAGCATGATTCCTGAGTTGCAGACGTTCATGGGCTAATCTACTCGTTTGCCCCCTCTTCCATAAAAATAATACACATTAGTGTTTTAATAATAGTCGAAGTCAGGCAGAGACAGGCCTTGATGAATTATAATAATATTTGAATTGTGTGGCGTTTTTATAGCCAAACCATAAAACACTTTTCCGTATTCGAAGTAAAAAGAGTATAAAACGGACAAGTTGCCCTAAGCGCCTAAACACACTATGCCGAAAGTACGCGACCGAAGCTCCGCGTCTGATTTTACGTTCCAACGTATTCAGCTGAAATGACACACATAATCGCGGCAATTATACCACAGAAAGACGATTGCGCAAATTCAGTGTCTGGAGCGCTATCGTGGTGTCGTGTAATGTCTAAAACAGACAGAAAATAAAGTGATATTATAAGGGTTCCATCATTCTTTTTAAAGCAGGATGGTGCGGGCCTGCCTTCCCCCCGCCCTGATTCACCTCCGGCATTCGAACAGAACTTCTGTGAATGTGTTGCAATTTAAAATACGTTGTAACCGAACTTACTTTCGACCAAAGTTCGGCTGTACCCTATAACGATACGTACTTTCGGTAAATGTATCGTAAGTAATTCAAATAATATAATAAATATATTCAGCATAGTGTGCTTAGACACTAAGTCTCGTTACGTCTATTCATGTTGAAAATACCACAATTTTACGGACAATCAAACAATTCCGTTTATACCACTATCCTGAAGGTGTTTCATGATAAATAAATCGAAGGATGCGTTTTGCTTTTTCTTTCTACTCATATATATGTTTGTTATTTTAAAGAAGTACAAACATTCTGCGGTTTATTTTGAATATTTGTTATTTTGCTGTTTGATTTGGTAGCATCTACTAATTTTTTCAAAAACTTTAAGTAAAAAAGGAAAAAGTTGCCTTGTGGCACTCCAAATATACGAGTATATACGAGTATGTTGTTTTTTCACCCCTAAGTACTTTATCTTTTTTTTAGGTTTCAGTTTAATTGACTTATACAATTAAAGAGCATAAAGAAGGCATGATTGAAAAGACAAATAAAAATTGTATATCATGAACACTTATGCCCTGCACGGATGGCATAGTGGTTTAAATCGTCGCCACGCCGCTTCCTACTGCGCCGAGTGTTGTGGGTTCAAATCCCATATAAGACGACACTTTTTGAGATCAACAAATTGTTGTTCTGAGTCTGGGTAATCTTTGTGTCCGTTTCATGTATGTTTGTAAAGTCCCCCGCGACAAAGAATATATACCTAATGCGGGATTGTCTTTTCAAAAGAAAAGAAAAGAAAGAATATACTTATGTACCTGCACATCTCACTACTTCAAGTTAATTTCAGTGAAGCGTTCAGAACATAAACTTCTAAAGTAAGGTGAGCGCTTTTAGTCCAACGTAATTAGCTTAACTCAGTAGAAACCGGAGATACAGAGAAAGAAAAATACGATACCGTAAGTGACCTACAAGAAAAAACTTAGCTTGTGTAAACCTTAAGGGTGATTATTTAAAAGAATCTAATTCTGGATGACAAATGTGTATGAATAACTTGATCAAATTGGTAGAACGATCATTCGAGCTCATAATTGTTTTTTTTTAACTAATATATAGATTTAGGGCAGGTTTTTTAATTCTTAGTTATACTGTCAGACAACTAACTTAGGAATAAATTTATCTTGATGTTAATCAAGCGAATATACTTTTTCTGCTTTTCAATCGGGTGTAATCCGACAGATAGTTACTTGATGGTCTTTCATAGCTAAGTTCACTGTAAACATGCGCAAGCGTGATGCAGCTATACAATTAGTAAAATATTAGATAAAGATCACAAGCTATTAGACAAAAATTTGTGTCTTTCTTTTCTTGTCATTGCTTGGCTGTCAGATAAGAAAACCTTATTGACGGTGATAGTGAAGATGAACTACAATTACTATTATTATTCGGGTTACTTTCGTATATAATGGAATCAATTATGAAACTTTGCATTGCATTTGCTAAACTTTGCATTGAAATTGTTCATCATCACACAAAGTGTTGTCATATCTTTCCCTAAAACCCTATTTTTTCTCTCAGGACACAGCAAAATTTAAATACTCAATTAACTTTACTACAACAAATATTAGAGAATGTTAACAAATACACAAAAGTCAAAATCACTATTCTACAGATAATATCACTAACTGAGGCGTGAAACGACAGATAAAGTTATTCCTTTATTTTCCAGATAAAAGATATCGGACCATTGACAAATCCAAAATTACGCTAACTGTGGAATAAATCTAACTGTTAATCTGAGGATTGAAAAACCGGCTTTTTGAGTTGTTAATATTGATCGAACTATAGATGTGTTAAACGTTTTATACAAATAATAATGATAACTTAACACATCCCATACACAGCCGCCTGATTTCAAATTAAGCCTGTACTATAGTAACCAGACTACTGTTGAACATAATTATATATTTTTAAATACAAATGCACTCGTACATACGTTTGATGACACAGAACAAATAATCATCATCAGCGTATCGCAGTCTAGTGCTGGATATACTGGACAGAACGCATAACTATAAATACTAGACTTGCAACGAATATTCGGTTACTATTCGGTATTCGGCATATTCGGCTGCTTTTATTATATTCGGCCGAATACCGAATATCTACATATTATTCGGCCGAATACCGAATACTTAAATAATATATTTTGTCATTGAGAAATAATTGGTAAAATGAAAAATTAAAATCGATTGATTACGACGTATACATTCATATTTTCATTTCTGTTATAATCATTTAAGTAGTCATTGGTGCATAACACAGGTACATAATCATCTTCTGAATTGGAAAAATGGAGGATTCTATGTATTTGAATTATTGTGGTAATCAAAATTTAGAAGGGTAAGGTTCTCATTTCTTTTATAATCATTTATTAAGTAGTCATTGGTACATAAAACAGGTACATAATTCAATTCACGTCTGTACAAGTTTTTGCCGCTAAAATCCAGCCGAATACTTTTGCCTAATATTCGGCTATTCGGTCAGGGGCCTCGCCGAATATTCGGTATTCGGTATACTGCCGAATATACTATTCGTTGCAAGTCCAATAAATACGTCTATAAATCCACTATAAATTCGTCTGTGGAATTTATCAGTGATATTTTAATAACTAAAGATATTACGACACAATGAACAATATTGTAACATATTTTACAATATTATATTTATGAAGATACCAATTCCAATTTCCTAAAATGAAATAGAAACCTAGTGATTGCCAATTATTTAATTATACAACTCTGATCGTTTTACAACACAACTCTGTGCGTGAACTGAAGTATATTAATAATAAGTTTGATTGAATTATAACAAACAGATCGAGACGAGAGAAGCCCTTCCACTTTAACTTGTTAGAGTAAGGTTGGGCTTAACTGTTACAAGAGCGGCAACTCTTATACTAATAACACTACTAATCTTATGGTTTGCGGGTTGGAATATTCTGCCATCTTATGGCATCTAGGAGAAAAGGACAACTACAAAGGAGAAAACTACTAGAAAGCAAACTACGCAAGACAACAGCACTGCAAAGAGAAGGAAAATTTGACACAAACCCTATACTAATCCGTCTGGCCAGCGTGGTATAGTAGGCCAAAACCTCCTTTCTAAGGAGAGGCCCATGTGCAGCAGTAGATTGTTATAGGCTGTTGATGATGATGATGGTGATGACATCTATCAGAAATAAACTATCTCCTTCTATAAAATTCTAGAGTAATAGACATTATAAAAATGATATTCAGTTTTTTTTTATTTGCAGAAAATATTTCAGAATTTTGTGTATATTATTTTATAGTTTGATAAATTCTTTAAACATAATTCAATGTAAGTTTTGCATGCATTCACTATTTAATTAGTTTTACTTCACTATCTTTATCTGCGTGTGTTTACCACCGAACTACTTCTAAAAAGCTGGATCTATTTTAATTATGTTTTGTGTACTTGAGTAGGTGGTGCACATATTTTTATTCATCGATGACTGTTTGGAGGACGCTTGATGCTTTAGATACACAAAAGAAGGGGTAGGTTACGCTTTAGTTAATGCCGCCAAGAGACCATGAAATACATTTTATATATTTTAGTCATGTCATCAAACCCCGTGTAAAATAAAATATTCTCTTGTCTATTTGATGTTTTATTTTTGTACACCGGTGTTTCCTTTCTGAAAATCTAAAGCTATATAGATCACCAATCAAATAGCAGGAGCATTTACGACTAAACTACGAACTAACTGAGAAGCAGGAGTTAAAGCTAAAACGATCTTTGTCAGTATGACCATATACTATCACGAAACTTTTGATTGGAGCAGTCGAGGGCCCTAAGCAGTGAAATTTTGCCGATCTTAAAGTTGTCACAACAAATTGCTTGTTGGCGTTTACAAAACGCTACAAAACTTAACGCTACAAAATGAAGTTTTCTGGACTTCTGTTGTGTTGATAGACTTGTGAGAGAGACTTCTGTTGTGTTGATAGACTTATTATAATCCGATTAAATTTGGTTAAATTAAGAAATAATAGTTACTTTGTATTTGTTTTTGATTATCCTTTACAAGGCAATATTATACGATCGCGGATATAGAAAACGATACGAACGAACGAAATTATTATTTCTAATATTAAACCAGTGTGCATATAACGCATAGTAATTGTTTATTATTAACTTTTGCATAAATGTTGATAGAGATATAAAGAAAGTATGTACTTGGAGTATCTTTGTCAGAAAAAAGTGAAAGTTTTATGGATGGATTTGTATGATAGCGAAACCCCCAGTAGAAGCTAATAATGTAGTTACAAATGAATAGAGTATAACTCAAAATTTAAATTTAATTTGAAATACAGACAATCCTCAGAGAAAACCGATTATAACCATAATAATTACAAGTTACTATACTTTTTTAGTTACGACTAAATTCTAAATTCTAAAAAAGACAACGCCCGCATTAGGAATATATTCCTGTGTCGCGTTGGACTTTACAAACATATATGAAACGAACACAAAGAACACCCAGACTCAGAACAACAATTTGTGGATCACACAAAGTGTCGTCCCATGTGGGGTTTGAACCCACAACACTTGGCGTAGTAGAAAGCGTCGTGGCGACCACTTAAACCACTACCCTATCTATATATGACTGAACAACTATTCAGTCATATAACCAAAAAAATAGTAAGTGGTACCTTGAGTTTAAAACCGACTAACACCCGATTTACATTTCTAGCGATTTCTATAGCGATAATATAAAAAAGTCAATTACCGGACACTAATATCACACTACAAGTTTTACAGTTACAAAAAAGTTTGTAATTCCAATGAATGAAATCCAATGAACCAATTTAATTAATTAGTACGAGCTACTACAAAAGTAACTTGGCAATGTATAAGTAGCAACTCAATTAAACTAACCGGATTATGTGACTCTTTTGTACAAAGTTGACTCAGAGAACTGTTCCAAAGTTAAACATTGTTATTAAGAACTTTTAATGCAGCCTAATTACCGTGGGAGAGCCATGACTCGGCAAAAATGGGCTGGCTTGGCTAGAGTGATACCATTTTAGCCTATTCAAATTATACAATAATAGGCTTTGCAGAAAACTGGTGTGAAGCTGTTTATTCGTTGTTTTTAGATGATTGATTGAGTTTGCCGGAGACCAAACCTCCCCCCGATTTATACATTATGACCCTTGAGTTGTCAGTGTTCATATCCGTCTGCTCGTTTGGCTTCTGATGCCATAAAAAGCCTTAACTTAATTTTCCAAATTTTACTACTCAAATAGTCTAGTGTTTTCAGGTTTTATGTATTTAAGTATGTAACAGATTAAGAATACAGAGTGTCGCTACCCTATTTATCCCGTGGGTGTGGTAAGAGCCGACTAAGGGAGCAAACTCTGCAGGACAACAGCACTGCAAAAAGAAGGAAAAGTTGTAACAAACCCTTTTTTTTTTTTTTTTTTACGTGTGGAAATCCCCTCGGACCGTCACCCCGCCGGGGCTCTCGTTCGGCGGGGCGGTGTGTCGGACTCGAACCGACTAAAACCACACGGTGTGCCCTCTTTGCGCTTCCAGTTTAGGAGGGGTCCAGGTAGCTATCTCCTTCTGGACCCCTCCCAGCGCCAGCCCGCTCCTAAAGCGGGCTCCGTCTCAGTGGACCCTCTCTTTAGGCGGCGTCCGGCACACGCGGACGCCGCCCCCTCGCGACTGGCCAACTAATGCGGGTGGAGGGGAGAACCCATCCCGTCCACCCGCGGCCACACTCAGGGCGGCATGAGGCGCAGGTGAGCGCGCCTCCGCCGCCCGGTTCGCCGGCGGCGGATCTGGTCCGAGGTCGTCCTCCCGGGCCTTCTCCGCCGCCTCCTTCTGCGAGATTACCTCCTCGCAGAAGGTTGCGACCGCGGTAAAACAACTGTCGCTACCGGCCATGGAGCGAATTACGGCCGGTAGCGAGAGATCTGCTCCGATGACTGCAGTGAGGGCCCGGCGCTGCGTCGCCCATGCGGGGCAAACCGCCAGCGTGTGCTGGGCCGAATCCTCACCGCAGTCGCAGTGGTGGCAGGCGGGACTCGATTCCCTCCTAGCGACCGAGTACAGGTACTTTCCGAAGCAACCGTGCCCGGAAAGCACCTGCGTCAGCCGGAAGGAAAGGGTCCCGTGCTGCCGCCCTGCCCACTCGGCGATGACCGGCTGGAGAGCCTCCACGGCGGCGAAGCCAGCGCGTGGAGTCTCCAGCCGGAACGACCATCTCACCATAGTGGCTCGGCGAGCGGCTTCGCGCCACTCGCGCACGTCTTCGGGCGGAGGGCGAAAGCCGCTCTCCGCCCGGAAGTCAGCCACTCGCCGATAAACTTCGGCGAGCACTTCCGCCTCCAAATCCCACGGGGGTGTTCCGGCCAAGGCGCAAGCCGCCTCGGTGGACACCGTGCGGTATCCGCGTATGGCTCTGACCGCCAATATCCTCTGGGGGCGCCAGAGGCGCGCCCTATTCGGGGCGGTCAGAGCCGCCACCCACACCGGTGCACCATAAAGCGCCATGGACCGGACAACCCCCGCGTACAGCCGCCTCGTGGGAACACTGGCCCCGCCCAAATTGGGCAAAAGTCGCCCTAGGGTGGAGGCAGTGTCCACCAGCTTCGGACCAAGCTGTCGGAAGTGCTCGTCGAAGAGCCACCTACCGTCTAGGACCAGACCCAGGTACCTCATCTGGGCCCGGACCGGTACGAGGACCGAGCCGACCTCGATTGAGGCGCCGGCGGGCGGACCACGACGGGGCCCATGAAATAATAGGGCCTCCGTCTTATCCAGGGCCACCCGTAATCCCAACGCCTCAATGCGCCCGACCACCTGGGAAACTCCCGTGGCGGCCAGGCGCGCCGCCTCCTGGAAGTTAGCCCCCCGGGCCGTGAGTAAGGTGTCATCCGCGTAGCAGATTACACCCAGCCCGGGGGGGAGAGGCCCTCGTAGGGCCCAGTCGTATCCAATGTTCCGCAGGAGTGGTCCTAGGACAGACCCCTGCGGAACACCGCACGACATGGCCCTGCAAGTTGTAACAAACCCTATACCAACCCGTCTGGCCGGCGTGTCATAGTAGGCCCAAATCTCTATTGTAAGGAGAGGCCTATGTCCAGCAGTGGACTGTTAGGGGCTGTTGATGAAGTATGTAAACAACATACCTTTCTTATTTACTTTCTTTCTTAACTCTACCTTTTAATTTAGTTCTAATTTCCTCATTTAATACCCAAAAAATAACCGGTTATCAGCAATAAGGTTGGCTCATGTTAAGAAAATAGTACTCCTTTTAATAAACTTGTCACAACTGTGGTAGTGGTGAGGTCCTGCTACTGCTCTATTTATAAGCATACATATATTAACGTGACTGAATCTATACTTGTTTGTTTGTTTGTGGCAAAAGCTAGTAATTTTACAAGGCCTGAGGGGACAAACATAGCATGTAACTGAAGTTGACAACTAATTTAGTTGACCCTATATTGTCAATTACTTGCCTTTTGCCGATAAGTTACAACTCGAAACTATATTGAGGACATTATTAGTTAAAGTGACAAGGGCTTCCATTGAAAATGGACAAGTTTTAATGATCCCACGGCGACAAATGTGCTCTGTTTAGATCGGTCGAGTAACTTGACTTAGTACATAATGCGGTTTAATTAAGTTACAATATTTAAGATCGTCCATATTGATATATTTTAAATTCATTCTGCGAGACACGTCTTCAAAACACTTATTTAAATTCAATTATAGATGAAAATCACTTTTAAACCCCTGCCCCACTCTCTCTCTCCCAAACTCCTCTTTCTCTGTTTTATAACATCTGAAGACATCCATAACTTACTTGGAGCAACCAGAATGATCTAGACGGACAAGCTCTCGCAGAACCTGCTAGTAGCCTGGCTGCTGGTGCTAGATGTAGAATACATCCACACCGGCATTTGTCGCCAACTTCTGCTACCACCACTGATGAATCTCCAGCCCATGAACGAGCAGTACACTCGCATGCTGCCAGCTCCACTGCCTGGCCCTAATGAAAAATTATTTATTGACATGTTTTTCTTTTGTAATGTACATTTTACAGCGGCTTTTATCCGCCAGCAAAGTTGAAAGACCAGGGTAGGTAGAAGACAAGGGTAACTGGAAAAAAGTCTAAATCTATTTCCAGTTATGGACGTCTAACTAACAAACTCCTACTTTGTTACCGTGGGAGAATCATGCATTGTCCCACATGGGAAACCGGAGTTAAGCAATCCTAACCCCCCAATTCCAAGAACACTCAACCGTTCCATCTGCTCGTTCGCTCCCTTTACCATTGACCACAGTTTTACTGGTTGGGTTTAATCCCATAGGAAATTAAATTTTTACAACTGTTTTCTTTATAACCCGTGTCGGGTTATTTTACAATCTCACAAAGATCATATAATAATGAAGCTTACTAATTGTAGTAAGCCTAACACATTGGTGTTGGGATTGAAACTTATTTACTGTAATTTAAATTTACTTTAAGATCTACCAAGACGATATGGGAGTGTTCAGTTTACGGTTACGCGTTTAGTCAAAGTTAGTAATTAAACGGTACAGTAAAGTTAAAAGAGTCATAACTTGTGTTAAGACTTCATTCGTTTTTTCAAATTAAATTACTGAATATATGTATATATATAATATATATATACATATATTCAGTAATTTTATATAAATATATATATGAAGTCGATTAACCTAACTGTAACTAACACAATAAAATATCACCTTCAGTGTTGAAATTAAGCGTAGTACAAATGAAGAATAAAACAAGTTTCATAATATACAAGTATACATTTATTTCAAAGCTATAGAATATAGAAATAAACCTGTATATATTTAAAATTACTATAGATTAGTATTATATGCAAAAAACATTTTCATACATTTCCTTTTCAGCAACTTTCTTCTTTTATTCAGGTTTATCTTCCCCTGCTTGCTGCTTTGATAGTTCTTCAGGTACTTCCGTCTCAACATTCAAATCGATCGATACTACTGACTCTTCATCGTCCTTTGTAACATCATCATCTTTTTGTTCCTCACTACTTATATTAGTAGCAGTATTTGATTCATTATTAGTAGCAATATTTGATTTTGTTACATCTTGAGCACGGTCCATTATAGTCACAGATTTCTTAGTCAACATTGTTATGCTTGGCATTGAAGTTGCACGAGCTAAAGATAGCGATGATTTTTTAAATTCTTGTTGAGAAAGTGCCAAATCTTTTAATATAGATCTTTGAATCGCAAGCTTACTATCTTCTAACAGCTTTTCTACATCGGATAGATTTTTCTGATCAATTTCAGATTCTTCTTCAACAGAAGTTGATTCTTTTGATGTTATGAACGACTTGACGCTGTCTTTAGATTCTAGCATATTGTCATGTGAAATTTCAGGCAAAATTTGAATACTTGGGCTCGTTCTTATACTACTATTAACCGAACCGACTGATAAAGATGTAGTAATAACACTTCTCTTTGATTCTTTTCTTAATAATTCTTGTTGTGTTTGAAAACATGGCATAGTAGAGAGAGTAGACGATCCTGACAATTTTTTTTTAGGTGCTGATTTAGGAACAAATCCTAGATCACCTTCATCGTAAACCTTAGTAAACGAAGCTAGAGTATTCATTGATTCTGATTCTCGTATTTCACGAAATTGTGAAACAATTTGAAGTAGGTTTGAAAGAAGCAACTGCCTATCTGTTACACGTTCTTCATGCTTAGTTTGAGCCCACTGATCTAGTTTTAAAGCAGCTTGAATAGCAATAGCAGCTTCTTGTAAAATATCCCGATATTTATCACGCTCTTTAGTTATATTTGAAGCGTTCACGACAGCTTTATTTTGATCGGTTAGTTTAACATGCAAATTTTGTTCTAGAATACGTATTCGTAAAGTTAAATTCTCATTTTCCTTTGTCAGATTTTGTATTTTTGCTTGGAGACTTTCAAAATCGTAACTTTTCTTCTCAAATATTTGTTTCTCTACTTTAATACTTTCGAAAGCTGATGTGAGTTTGTCAATCACTTTACGTTGTACAATGTTCTTGTTAATAGCTTTATCTCGTTCTTCTTCTGCTAATTGCTTCGTAATAATTGCAGATCTAGTACTTTCTTTGTACATCTCATTTTGATCTGAAATTTTTTGTTGGGTCGATAAAATAGTATTCAACTCATTACTTATGGCTATATTTTCCCTTATAACCCTATGCGTAGATGCGGCGACTCTGAGTTCAGTAGCATCTTGGAAATCTTGAGCCAACTGTAAAAGTCTTGCTTCCATTTCTTTTTTTAGTTTATCTTTCCCGATCACAAACTTTTTCTCAGCATCGTAAATTATTCTTTTGTACTTCATCTCTTGGTCTTCGAAATCTTTTTCTTGTTTTTCGAATTTCTTCATTAAATCATCTCTAATTGCACGAAACTCTTCAAGAGTGTTTAATTTGCCCGCAAGCAACTTATTTTCAGATGTGAGTTGATCTTTCATAATAGTGAAATTTTTTTCAAGCTCGTCTACCTTTTCATGAAACTGAGCGCTCTCTATATCTCTTATTTCTTCAAGCCCTTTTACTTTTTCTTTCAGTTCACAGTTTTCTTCGTTCTTCACATTAAGTACTTTTTTCAAATAGGCAATTATATCAGCTCTATCTTCATCCAATTTCTCGTAAGCACTTTGTAGCTCCTCATTTCGAGTTTCATATTCGTCAAGAGCGGATCTAAGTCTCGCAATTTTTCGGTTACATTCGGCCACTTGTTGTTCCAAAAATGTTCTTTCCACTTCACTGAAAGCTCCTGCTTTATCGTCTTCTTTTTTAGCTTTATCCTTTTTAGGTGCCATTTTTATTTAATATTTTTAGCAAAGAGAAGAACTGCATGTGAAAACGAATCGTATCAACGCGTGTTGTTACAAGATTATTGATAAAACTATCGCTAGTAACTATGTTTTTAGTTGCGTGGCAACAGAAACTCATCAAACCAAAAAAAACGCATTGGTTAAGCATTCCTTGATAAATACATAACCAATGCGTTTAAGTGCCTTTTGAACGCTTATACATATATCATAATTGTGTACGTTATGACTATTATTTTGATTATTTAGTTTATATTAAAAAAACATCTTTGCTTATTTTAAACGTTTAACGTGTAGATATCACAATTTGACGTTTAAATAAATAATTTACTGCCAATAATTTTCCTGTAGAAGACTCATACTGCAATATATACGGGCCAGCTCGACCGTACTATTTCACGGCATCAAACAAAACTGGTGTTAAGTATTTTTTTCGTTGATTTACACTAAGTGGGTGTGGTTACCGGATGATTGATTCTGGAGGCTCCCTCCGGAATCAATCTTCCAGTACCACAGTTTCAGTTACAGATGCATGATGATGTCTGTTTACCATAAAAAAAAATGATAATTCGCCCACAACTTAGTAATAACTCTATTATAAAACAATACAGGTATAATATTTGGTTTATTCCCAATAGTTCAGTGAAGCCAGTTCCACGTCGTACTGATAAAACCTTAAAAATGCAGATTTTTGTACCATTTTTTAATGTTCTACTTTTACAGCTGACATTAATTAAATTTATTTAATTTCAAACTTTTTTTAAAAATAACAAATAAAGTCTAGGATAATTACTCAACGTTAGAAACACAAATGACTATCCATATATTTTACGAGCATTTTTATTTCATTTCAACATGACTTCTGCAGTCTGCTGTCGATTGCAAAGATTCGAATAAAACCCAAGAATGTCCCAGAGAATTCTGGTAGATCTTAGTCCACCTTTTTACCAGGTGGTCACACCATAGTCACCAAGTTCCACCTGGCAAGGTCATCTGTTCTACCCTTGCTGCTTTACGGTCAGTAAGTGTTAAGTCAAGAGTTGTTTTTATTCAAAAAGATAACTCCTGAATCTATTTCTGTGTCGCAGAAACTTAAAAACCATGGAAACAGAAATCACAAAAAGATTACAAGTTCGCCCCTTGTGGGAATCGAACCTGTCTAAATTCGAAGAAGCTTACGTAGAGTCCGATGCATTTGATTATTGTCTCGTACTCAGGGTTAGGTCTAGTTGCTTTTTTTACTTTTTAATCTTGTTGTTACCTCGCAAAACCTAGAACCGTATGCTGGAGGTGGCGAGTCACAGAAGCGATGCCGACTTCTTGTGCGGGTTGAGCAGTGCGCAGGCGCTGGGCACGCCGACCACGCTGACCATTCGCCCCAACCACCCGCGCCACCGTCTGGAAGAAAAATTTTATGAGACTGAACAACAACAGAGAGAGAACAACAAGCCATTTAATACATGTTGTTTATCGGTTCCGTAACTTTATTTGACGTTTTATTTCAAGCAATCTGGTAGTTACTACAGTTCAACACTTAATTTTTTATACAATCAATACCTATCTATATTAGCTGACCCGGCAAACGTTGTTTTGCCTTAAACATTATTTCAAAAATTAAAAAATAATAATAATAATTGTGGTATGAAATTTAGATGTTGGCCGATTCTCAAACCTGCCCGACATGCACACAAAATTTCACGAAAATCGGTCTAGCCTTTTCAACTTCTAACACCGTAACACGAGAATTTTATATATTAGATGTTTATAAAATAAAGCAGAAAAGCAATTTGTTGCGTTGTTTGTGCTTTTAACACGCTAATTTCTAGAACTATCTATCTGTTTGGAAGAAATATGTTTCTATTGGATAAAATATTCATTGAGGAAGTAGAAGTAGTAGTAGCGAAGTAGTGAACGTAAATACAGATAAAACTTTTGCAATTAATTAATTATTTAATAATTGCTCGTATAATTGTTAAATGGTTCGTTGTATATTCAAAAACGTAATAATATTTAATCAAAGTTTATCTAAAACATATGTTTATTGAACAAATAGTTTTAAAGACCCGCATTAGGAATGCCTTCTTGTATCGCGGGGGACTTTACAAACATATATGAAACGGACACAAAGAACACCCAGACTCAGATCAATAATTTGTGGATCACACAAAGTGTCGTCCCATGTGGGGTTTGAACCCACACTACTCGGCGTAGTAGTAAGCGACGAGGTGACCGCTTAAACCACTACGCCATCCGTGCAGTCGAATGGCGTAGTAATTTAACTGGAATTTAGCAGAGCACCTAATTCAGGAACCGACTATTGGTTAAATTACCATCACTTTCATACATCATTGCTATTTCCAAATTGTATACCTGTATAAAGTTGACGCAATGCGTAATATTTATAAAGATTGCAATAGTTAAGCTACAGTTTTATTGAGAAAAATGCTTCTCCAGTCTCAGTATAAATTTCTTTATACCAAATACCCAAAATAAAATAAAGAACGTTTGCAATAGCTCTGTACTCGACCCTTAAGATACTGGCAGATATTATTTGAGTGTAGTACCTGAAAGTGGTAATGTTGGGAGACAGTCCATCCTGACATCAGCGACCGCGCCAGTCACCGCCTGCGATACGTACACAAAACAGTATTCAGGGTAGCGCTCGCTGAACAGTCGACAGTCAAATGAAGCGGTGTGTTGGCCTCTGTAACAAACAACAATAAACAATTCCAGAACTTAATATAAAATCCTCAGTAAGATAAATAATTGTTTTATGTTCGTGGCCTCAACTCACGTGTAACCGAAAATAGGAGGATTTTTTTTCAAAATAATATGTACGGAGCTTTGTTTTTTAGATTTTTGATATATGACAACTCTATGTAAGTTTCAATATAAATATTGGGATGTTGACAGGCGTGTTGTTCTAGCGGTTATAGAGCCTGTCCGCTAAGCCAGAGGTCGTGGGATCGATTTCCATTCAGAACAAATAATTGTGTGACATGACACGTCAACAACAATAACAATAGCCACGTCTGTCTCCCGGCGAAGGTAGTGCCGCCTTAGCGGACAAGTTGGCAGCACGCCTGCGGGAGGTACTGTCCAGCACGGACGCTATTATTGCGCGTCCGTGCAAGACAGGAGACTTACGGGTGTTGGACTTGGAGGAGTCTATCACCCAAGCCGAAGTTGCCAAGGCGATAGCAACGGCGGGGGGATGTCCCATCTCCGACGTCAAAGTCGGAGACATCCGTGCCTCCCCGTCGCGGCTAGGCACGGCCTGGGTCCGTTGCCCACTTGCGGCGGTCCGCAAAATTGCGAACGCCAAACGGGTGCAGGTGGGATGGGTTTCGGCCAGGATAGAGGCACTAGCACCTCGTCCGCTGCAGTGCTATCGGTGCCTCGAAATGGGACACGTGAGAGCTAAGTGTCCCAATGAGACAGACCGTGGCGCGCGATGCTACGCGTGCGGTGGCACAGGCCACATAGCGCGCACATGCACCGCAATAGCACCGAGGTGCCCGGTCTGCTCAGACCTTGGCCGACCCGCGGATCATCGGCTGGGAAGCAAGAAGTGCTCTCCGCCGAAGAAAAACAAAAGGGCTCCTGCCCAAGCCTTGACGAGCACAAGAACGTCACAGCCGGATACCCGTCCGGCAGAGGAGGCAATGGAGGCCTAACATTCGCGCCTCCCCAGAAAGTTTTGCAGGGCAACCTAAACCACTGCCGCGCAGCGCAAGACCTGCTTATGCAGACGCTGGCGGAGCAGTCGGTTGCCCTAGCGGTGGTGGCGGAGCCGTACTACGTTCCGGATCTCCCCCGGTGGTTTGGTTCGGATGACGGCACCGCCGCCATATACTGGGCAGGGGTGGAGAACGGCCTCCACTGCACCCTTATTCAGAGAGGGTTGGGGTTTGTGGCAGTAGAGTGGGGCCCCATGGTCATTGTGGGCTGCTACATATCTCCGAATTGCGGCCTCCCCGTGTTCGAGGCGTACTTGGACGGACTTAGGAGTTGCATTTGCTCTTTCCTGTCTCGTCCAGTACTTGTCTTGGGCGATTTCAACGCCCGCTCCACACAGTGGGGTGATCGCCTAGACAACGTAAGAGGAGATACACTCATCGAGTGGGCGGCGGGACTGAACCTCGGCATTCTGAATCGGGGTTCGGTCAGCACTTGCGTGCGGTGGCAGGGGGAGTCAATTGTCGACTTGACATGGGCGACTCCCTCGGTCATCGACCGGGTGTCAGGATGGAGGGTGGCGGAAGAGGTGGTCACTTTATCGGACCACCGCCACATCGTGTTCAATGTGGCCATTCGCCACCCGGGCGCAGGCGCGGACCGCCGCAGTAGCTGCCCTCCGCGACGATGGGCCCTCAAGCGGTTGAACCGAGACATGCTCATCGCCGCAGCCATCGTCGCGGATTGGCCAGAGGAAGAGGAAGTACAGGTCTTGTCCGATCCAGAAGCGCAGGCTGCCTGGTTCCGTGGCATCATGACTGACGTCTGTGACGCGTCGATGCCACGGGTCAGGCCGAAGGGTGGGAGAGGTTCTCTGTACTGGTGGACACCGGAACTTGAGCAACTTCGCACAGCGTGCTCGAGAGCCCGCCGCCAGTTTCAGAGAACCCGAAGACGACGGCGAGCTACAGCCGAGGAGATCGCTGAAAGGAGACGGGAGTACGGCGCTGCCGCAAAGGCTATTAGCCTTGCGATCGCGGAAGCCAAGGCTCGGTCTTGGAAGGAGCTCATAGAGGGTTTGGACAGGGACCCATGGGGGCGCCCTTACAAACTTGTACTGGGCAAGCTCAGACCGTGGGTCCCCCCGCTGACGCAGACCCTGGACGTCGACGTTTGTGGGAAGAGTGGTAGATACCCTCTTCCCAAGGGTCCAGAGTATTCCCTCACGCCCCCCGTCACCGTCGGATCCAGTTGCGAGGTCCGACGACTTCGACGTGACAGAGGAAGAGCTAGACCGAGCCGTGAAGCGACTCACCGCCCGCAACACCGCACCGGGCCCTGACGGGATTCCGGGGCAAGCTTGGGGGTGCGCTTTGGCGGTCTTAGGGAATAGGCTGAGGCGGCTGTTTACCAGCTGCCTCCGTAATAGCATATTCCCTGCCGGCTGGAAGGAAGCCAGGCTGGTACTTATCCAGAAACCTGGCAGAGCTGCAGATTCTCCTTCGGCGTTCCGACCGATATGCTTGCTGGACGAGGTGGCGAAACTCTTTGAAAGAGTTGTCGCCGCCCGTATCAACCAGCACCTGTCGCGAGTGGGCCCCGACTTATCAGACAACCAATTTGGCTTCCGACAGAGACGGTCGACGCTGGACGCGATTGAACGCGTCCGCTCTTTGTCGGAAGAGGTTGTCTGTCGGGGGGGAGTGGCGTTGGCCGTCAGTCTTGACATAGTCAACGCCTTTAACTCTCTCCCGTGGTGGGCGATTAGGGATGCACTGGTGTATCATCAGTTGCCACCCTACCTGCGAGACATTATCGGGGCTTATCTCCGCGACAGATCCATGTCGAAGGGAAGTCACATGCGGGGTTCCCCAGGGATCGGTCTTAGGACCACTTCTGTGGAACCTCGCGTATGATGCCGTTCTGAGGACCAGCCTTCCCCCAGGATTGAGCGTCGTCTGCTACGCAGATGATACTCTAGTACTGGCTGGAGGGCATGGCTTCCAGGAGGCCCTTGAGCTCGCCGAAATAGGGGTGGCTTGTGTCGTCCAAAGCATCAGTGGTCTGGGACTAAGGGTTGCACCTCATAAGACGGAAGCCTTATGGTTCCACAGGAAACGCAGAGGTGCAGTTCCCACCCGCTCACTTATTAGCGTGGGGGGAACAGAGGTCGAGGTTGGCCAACACATAAAATACCTTGGCCTCACCCTAGACAGCCGCTGTAGCTTCGGGGAGCATTTCGAGCGGATGATCCCCCGAGTTCGTGGGGTGGCGGGCTCCCTACAGAGGCTGTTGCCTAACCTAGGGGGTCCGCGGGAGGAAGTTCGCCGCCTCTTTTGTGCGGTGATACGATCCATGGCCCTCTACGGAGCGCCGATATGGGCCAAGGGCCTATCGGCCTCCTCCCGCTGCCGAGCTAAGCTCAATCAAGCGCAGCGGATAGCGGCCATTCGGATCGTACGAGGGTACCGCACTATTTCGTCGCAGGCGGCGACAGTCCTGGCACGTTTCCCGCCCTTTGATATCCTGGCGGATATGGATGCGAGGGTCTATGACCAGACTCGCGCGATCCGCTGGGGTGAGAGCGGGGAAGACCAGGACGCGCTCGAAATGCGGCGGAACGCTCACCAACATGCACTGGTGCAGTGGCGCGTGCGGCTGGAACAGCCACAGAATGCACGCCAACGCACTGTCAGCGCTGTTCTGCCTAACCTCGAAGCCTGGGTAGGTAGGGAGGGAGGTCGCGTCACCTATCGACTGACGCAGGTACTCACTGGGCATGGTTGCTTCGGTGAGTACCTGAATCGTATCGGACGCGAGGAGACGGCACAATGCCAGCACTGCGCAGCCGACTGGGACTCCGCCCAGCACACGCTGGAAGACTGCCCCGCGTGGGCGTCTGAACGCGAAGTCCTGGTCGGCCAAATCGGAAGAGACCTGTCCCCGCCAGCAATCATTGCTGCCATGCTGGCGGGTGAGGAGGGATGGGGCGCAGTGGTCTCTTTCTGTGAAGCTGTAATGCTCCAGAAAGAGACCGCTGAACGGGATCGGGAGAGGGCCGATCCTGAGCGTAGAGGACGTCGGCGACCATACCAGCCGCCGACGGGGCCGCGGGCCGCCAGAGAGGGGGACCTCTGGTCGCTGATTGAATGTTGCGGTAGGGGATAGGATGGCGGCCTGATTGCATTAAGACGAAATTGGGCCGCCACGTCGCGATTGAGGGGGGAAGTGATATTCCCCTGGGATAGGGCCTGACTAGGCATGGTGTCAATTCGGGGAGGACCTGAAATAACATGGTCCGGGTCCTCCCAGAGTAGGGCACCTGAGGCCGGCCGTCGGGGTGGTTTTTAGTAGAATCACCACATACTCCTAGCTCCTAGCCCCGAGGAGCAGGAGATCCGAAGGGATTTTCCACCCCATCAACAAAAAAAAAAAAAAAAAAAAAGCCACGTCTGTCTGATCCCGAACTACGCAGATTCTGTACTATGATAATGAGACTGCTGATAAACATACTTATATATTTCTAAATACATACATATTATAGATAAATTACACTCAGATACAGAATTATTTGACTCAGCATTTAGGATCAGTAAAGACTAGATCTACAACCCCATATTAACAACCTGTCTATGGATGTCTTCAACTATTTACCAATAATCAAGATTACCAGTTGGGTAATCTTCTTAAAACTTTAAATCATGTACGAACAGTCTGCATCGAACGCAATTATTTTGGGTTCACTGGTTAGTCAAACAATACACACACATATATATATGTACTCGTATATACATTCTGATATGGAGCCTTATGTATGATGACAATTATTCCCAATTCCGACGCTTAGATTGTCCTTCGTGTTGATTGGATTACCTTACATCCTATTGTTGCACAGATTATATTGTAGCTTTCAAACAAAGGACATTGTTTTGAGTTTTATTATGAAATGAGATACAGTTTTATTATTTTTATTTATAAATAAATCATGTACCTAAAGGACATCATTCAAAATGTATTTAAAAATTG